TGGGGCGGAGCTGTCTGGCGAGACAGCTCAGAGGCTCCGCCCCTCTGCTCTTCATCCCACCTGGACAAGAGGCTTACCTGCGTCAGGTTCCCTCCACACAAAAGACCAAAAAGGCCAAGGTAGCAGTTACATTATAATTTCAGGGGAGGAGGAAGTCTGGACGGGAACCAGAGAGCGTGATGGGATAGGTGGGAGGTGCTGTGGCAAGGCAGAGGATTAAGGAGGTCAGGTGAGACTGTTGTGCTGCTCTTTATCTCAGCTGTTCAATGACTCAGCGCTGGATGTTCTCACATCTGTGTTTCAGCTGGCTTTTATTTTTAGCAAACGCAACGTGTAGATATGTGAGATATTATTCTGCAGAAAGTACGAATTCATACTATTAAATACACTTTAGATTTTGTAATTTTGTTTACACAAATCATTAATTGTGCCTTGAATTACTTACTCATTATGTTGCGTATGTAATCGAAGGATCTGAGAACTCTAATGGCATTAATTTAGATGTTGACAGAAATACAAAAACAGGGACAAAACTAATCCAAGGACTTCTACAACAGTTTTGTCAGTTTGAAATAATAATATCTGTGTAAAATACAAGGCCTACCTGTGTATGCAGTGAACACACGAGTGGTTAAAAATACTGGAAAACATGTTTCCCAGTTTAGACACTTTTGAAAAAATATGAGTTGATATGAAAACATTTGATCTTCCCTAATTTCAACATGAGAGAAGCCTTAGATCCAAATTAAACTGTATTATTTGGAATGATGAGGCTTTTCAATAAAATGCAACGACCCAACTTTAACATAAAGCACATCTTCTCACTCTGAGGACATGTTTTGTGTTGCATCTTATGAGCGACAGACCGCATCACTTCAGATCGCACTGTCCTGAGATTTCTTTGTCCTCAGACTGTGTGACTATGTCAAGACAGTCCACAGAGAACGTACTAAGGGATGAATGGAATAAATGATGTAACAATTAGAGTTAATCATCGAATTAATTATATTGACCCAGACTCCATGACGAGTCCTCAAAACTAAACAACAGAACAGCCCTTTAGAAAAACACACAGAGGCTTTTTTGGCCAAAAACAAAACACAGTTAGAAAAACAAACCACTGTTATGATTTCTCAATGCTATGGTTAAAGTTTAGTTAAAGTCTGGTACAAAAACAACTCTTTCAAGTTTTGGGTTAAATGACTACTTTGGTTAAGATCGTCATGGTTACGTTAATAACCACTAAGTTAAGGTTAGGGAACGACATTTTCATGGACTAAAGAAACCAATGAAACAGCATGCACCATAACTGAAAGCAAAATGTAAGAGACTCTCACAATGAGCTGAAATGAAACAAGTGTTCAAACCTTCAGTGAATACTGTAAATAAAAAGTCTCATACTACAGTTCATCTACGGCGTGTGGTGTTGCACCGTGACGGCCCCAGCCCCTGCTCTTACACGCACAGGAGCTCAGCGGAGTGAAGGACAGACAGACAGCAGAAAGATGAGGCCTGTTTCCACTGCAGGAACTTCGGGGTAAATATACGGGGCCGTTGGTGCGTGTCTCCACCGCAGGAACCACCCCCGAAGGACAGAGTTCCGGAACTTTTACAGGGGCTAAACAAGTCCCTGCCTCGGAGTAGGTACTCAGAACCCCGAGAAACTCCTGGCTGGGGCTTGGGATTTACTTGGTGCTGATTGGATATACTCAAGACGAGATGTGACGTCAACAGAAAGCGGCAAAATAGCCGGCATTTTTAAAACTCAGCAGACGAGGGTTAGCTCGTTCATAGCTTCAGTAACTCAATAAACGGTCCGTGAAAAAAATATTTTTTCCAGCGGATATCTTAGTTACAACATGATTGAGCTAGCAAAGCAGTTTTGTGTTGCTATGTGTGGTATTTATTCAGTTTTGGGAAATCACGATGTCTAGAAAGCATCAGTGGCTGCAGCTGACAGGGACAGCTAACAGCAGCAGCAAAGCTAACATCAGGACGTCATCTGTTAAAAGCCTCCCGTTGTCGGATACGACATGAAACTACTCCAGTTAGCTCAATCATGTTGTAACTAAGACATCTGTTAAAATAAAAAAAAAAATTCACGGACCGTTTCTTGAGTTACTGAGTATTACAGACACCACTAAGGGCTAACAGCTAACGCTGCGTCGCCGCGGTCAAAATGGTCGCACAACGATTAAGTCACATCCAGAGCCCGTAACTTTACAGGAACCTTCCTCCTACTCCGCTCTCTCAGTGGAGACACGGCGGTTGAGAGGGCCGAGCGAGAGGACGTTCATGTAGTAGTTCCTGCCCCCCAAATAGTACCAAGAACTTCTTCAGTGGAAACAGGCCTATGGAGAGTTGACAACGGCTGCACTTTGCGTTTCTGTGCATGAAAGCTTCACAAGTAAAAGCACCGGTGTGATAGCTGACCTAAAACAAAAAATGGATATATCTCATCCTGACCAGTTAAAAAATACCTTGTTCGACCCTGATACTGGTCTTTGAAACTGCATCAGTACATCCATAGTGCCAAGCTAAGCTTACACCCAAATGAGCTCAGGCTACTTGTCCCTATACAAATAAACATTAAGTCAATGAAAGACTGTGGTTACTGAAATAAAACTAAACACAGTGTTTGTTGCAGGTCTGTGACAGGACGTGAAATCTGGCCTTGTTCATGGAGTTGGTTGTTCAACACATCCACCCACCATCACTTCTCATTCATCCACATGGATCCACACTGCTCCACTTCTGCCACCAGAAAAAATATCATCCGAAAGTTGTTGTGTGTTGTCTTGTCATTACAGACTACATTACAGAAGGATGGGCACACCTGGGTGATGTACTGTGCATTATCACGTGCACCCTGTTTCCATTAATACACCTGCAATGTCTACAACATATCTTGTTCTGTATTTGTGTCCTAAGCTGCCAGAGAGCAGCGGGGATAAGGCGCTGACCTTTGGTTTGTTTTTTCCTTATCCCGATGATCGGCACATCTGGGTGATGTCAGTATACATTGGATGTGTTTCCATTCACATCCCCTACAATGGCAGAGGAACGCCGGCACTCAGTCCTATTCTTATGCATAATTCTCACTGACTGGCCAGCTCCGTGTAATAATTTGTGCTTGTCATAGTGACTTTATCGCACAGCATTCTGTTTGCTGTGCTAAACCCAACATTTGTTTATTGTGTTTCATATCACAGGCCCACAAATATTTATCCATATCTCATAAATATCACTTTGATCCTCCGCCTGACCCTCCCTGTGTCCAAGGATATTCATTTATTTAAAAAGGTCTTGGCAATTTAATTGTTCTATATCGCCACGCTATTATTACTATAATCAGGGTATTTTAATATAAAGCAGTAACCACTGTATGTGAACACATGACAGGGTCAGACCTGCAGCACTGGATTTGAAATGAACTGTAATAAACTGGAGCTTCTGTGAAACAACATGACATCATCCATTTAAGATCAACGTTTATCCTTCTGACATAAATTTGGTGAAAGCAACACAAATGTAGTTTAATAAGTAACTTATTACTCTTATTAAATCTTTGCTAAATGATCTGGCATGACTCTGGCCATACGTGGTTACGTGAGGAGAATAATTGTTCTCGTCTCAATAACAGGAAAACAGTTGCTTAAGTGACGAGAAACACCTTTTAATGAAAGCTGACTGATACTGCTTGTTGCTCAGACACTTCAAATTGTCATTTAAATTCTTTCTCACGAGAAAACCTTCGAATGTCTTGAGTCTCTTTATTCTGCAACATAACCTATTACTCTACACAGAGTAATATTGTAAAGTAACTAGTAAGTAGTATTTAATATATTACATTTTGAGAGTAACTGATACACTGATACAGGACTCAACTGCCTGCATTGCCACAACCTTTGGCACTGAATGGTTGCACATCGTGAGGGACAGACTCATCCAACATCCATGCAGTTTCTCAGGATATGTATCTTAATGTGGCCAAAGAGGGCGGGTGGAGCTGAGTGTGATAGGCTGAGACACCTGTCAATCAAGTAATATTAATCACATCAAAAATAAATAATCAATTAAAAAAGGCATCATTAAAAGATATAAAAGTGTACACTGAGAGCATCACTATATTTAAATCAACTTGTTTTGTCAGATTCAATAAGAAATGTATTTTAGTGTTTTATCTACTGCCAGTAAGACAGGAAAAATAATTCACTTTCCAATTTATTTTTTTTACATTTTCCTCCTCAGTGCTTTGTGCCGTTTGGACTGAAGCCTGGGAGGTTTGGAAAACTGATTTTTACATATCTTTAATCCCAGTGGATGCTTTTAAAAAACTGCCAGAATTCATATTAAAGAGACGGAAAATGTAAAAACTCAAATCACAGAGGAATTCTACTTTGTTTGTTCTGAGCTGTTAATCACTTTAGAAAACGAGGGGTCATTTTATCTTCAGAGATCTAATTCTGGCGATTAAACCTCTCTCTCCTTCACACCTTGAACGCCGCCAAAATGTTAACGCCTCATCACCTCCACACTTTAACTCCTGTGCCGTACACGTTGTCGCCTCCTCCTCCTGCTCGCTCGCCGCAGCCTCTGATCTTTGCCACGTCGCCGTCGTTCATTAACTGCTCAACAGCCGAAACGCTGCCGCCCACAAAGCGACACTTCAGCAAAACACATCTCCAAGGACAAGAGTGCAATTAATTAGGCTTGTTGTGTGATCTTTGGCTCTGGAGCTGCAGGAATAAAAACCCTCTTTATCTTTCACACATGTTTAACACGGTACGATGACAAACTTACAAGAAAAAAACAAAAAAAAAAAAAACACCCCAACAAGCACATGACTGAATGCAAAGCGCGGCCACTTTGCATTTCCAGGCTGCTTTATTTTCCACCCAACGCTTCGAGTGTCTGAATGCGGATGGAAACACAAATATGGAAACCAACTGTGACGGACAGGGTGAATAATAAAACTGCAGGCAGATCGACGGACTCACAGGGACTTCCACATATTTGGCAGCTGCTTTCACCTTTCAGCAGGGGGAGGCAGGAGGAGGAGGAGGAGAGGGGGGGAGAAGAAGAAGATGAAGAAGAAGAAGAAGAAGAAGAAGAAGAAGAAGAAGAAGAATGACACTGAAGTTCAGCTGGGAAGATCTGGTTTCCAGCAAATAACAGGCTGCCTCTGTGAGCGGTGAAAGAAACAGCTCGGTGCTCTCTGTTTCTAGGAACAAAAAGAAGGCTACTCACTGTGAAAGAGAGGATTGAAGAGAAGAATGTCCCTTCATCGTATCTCGAGAGCTTGGAGAGGACGCCATCCAAAACAGCAGCAAACTGCAGACACAATAACAGTTTACTGCTTTCATTTCACATTCATTTTGAATTAAGAAAAAACTTCTAAAATCTCTTTTTGCTACAACCTTTGTGTCTGAGAATGAGTTTTATTTTCTCAAACCATGTGTGAAAAAATGTGACGGTGCAGCCAGAATGTTCAACTTATTTTAGGCATTTTCTAAAATCAGGTTTTTATTATCTTGAGTCTGGTGAAGGTAGGGTAGAGAAAAAATCTTGAAACAGTGATTTAGAAATTGGCTAATACTCTCACTGCTCTGGTACATGGTTTCCTTTTGTTTCTTGAAATTAAAATACATTAGTGTTTCTTCAAGGGAATTAAAAAAAAATCTCATAAACCAATCACAATTACAAACAACATAAAAAATTATATATGAAGACTTTAATAAAAATAAAACAGAATCAATAAACAAATAAATGTAGGTAGTAAACAAAAAGTGGATACATCCATCATGCTACTATCTCAGACTAAAGCTCAACCACCTATTTAAAAACATTAAAAACAAAAACTTGAGAAAAATAAGAAAGAAAAAAAAAAACTGAAATAAATAAATTCACACATTGCAGCAAAAAAAGAAAAAAAAAACACTAAATAAAAGAAAAAAGATCATTTCTATCAGGTGTAAAGATAAAAAAGAAAAAAATACAAAGCATAAAATAATGAGTGAATAAAAAAAAATAAATCTGTGATAACTACTTAAAAAAGTAAGGTTTCACTCCACTATGTAGAAAAAGGAAAATCAAAAAATACAAAGTAAAATACAAAATAAAAAAGCCAAACAATAGAACAATAAAGAAATCCTGAGTGTAAACAGCCAGTGAGAGGATCTGACTGAAGGATAAAGAGATATTTACCCTTGTGACAAGGGAGGAAATCATTTCTTTAAACGTGTCGTCAATCAGAACATCGATCTTTGAGTGGTACTGTTGCTGCAGGGAGGAGGGGGGAGACACGGAGGAGGGGGGGAGGACAAAAAGCAATATTTTATTATTTTCAGGAAACTGAGAGGACACAAAGGCTAAAAATGACTCCTCGCCTCCCTGATACAGAACAACACTATTGTCTACGCTGTAAAAGACAGAAAGAAAAACCTTCAACACTCGGTATGAACATCAAGCCTTCACACACACACACACACACACACACACACACACACACACACCAGCGAGGCGTGAAAAACCTTACCATCCGTGTAACGCTGCTGAGTTAAGCAGCTAATAGGACCATTATGTGGCTGAATGACATTCCCGTCCGCGCTGGAAAAGCGAAGGAATCTGAAGGATACTTTTTGTGCGTCTCCCTACAATTAGAGCAGCCTTGTATTTCTCTAAAGCACCGGTCCAGCTGCGAGGACCAAAGGCTCACACAAGATTCAATTAATCCGCCATTTCATGTCTCGTTTGGCCCCCCCTAAAACATATTCATGGCACCTTTTCCCTTGAAGGAAGGAGAGGGAAAAAAAAGGCTGGGGCTGAGCGCTGAATGGCAGCAGCAGCAGGGGAGTTCATCTCTTGGCGACAATGCCCTTTCACTGGCCGTCTAAAGAACACCCAAATTAAAAATTTCAATCAACAAAGCGCACAGATCGCTGACAAATTGTGGGTCCAGGGAGGTCACCGCTGCCAGCCCTAATTTTGTTTTTTTTTCCCTCCACAAGTCCGCAAAATGGCAGTTCTCTTTCAACGCGCCGAATCTTTCTGGCGAATCTTGAGAGCTTTTCTTTTTTTCTCTCTCTCTCTCTTCTTACCTCAATTAACATTGCTGATTTTACCTTCTTTATTTCTACAAAGGCTGCCATAAAAAGCAGAGAGAAGAAGAAGAAAATGTTTGGTCTTTGCCATGTGCGCAGCAAAAACTGAAAAGAACAATTATAGCTTTTAAAAACATTTATCTGGTTGTTGAGCTGCAGTCGGCGCCGCTACTTCAGCTCTGTGAGGCGTTTTAGATTCTGAGCCGGGTCACATTTTCAACACGACCCCCCTGACACTATTTAAATGACCTCAGCAACAAAAGACAGCAGCACGATTAGCATTTTCATTGATTTCAGATGATCAGTACAGTTTAACAGGGGTCTGTAAAAGCAGATTCATTAATCCAGCAGAGGAGTTTCTCGTCTGGATTAAACTGTCAAGTGCAGATTCTTCACAGGCTGTCTGCTCGCTTGCCAGTTGAACTGCTCATGTCTGCAGGCGATAAAAACTTGGACGCCGTTTTCCCTATATCGAGAGGTAAAAGTGAAGAGGGGCAGCAGAACCTGTCGCTGAGGCTTCAGAAATGGCCCAACGCTTTGCTGCAGATGGACGCACTGTAACAATCATGGCAGAGAACGGACCGCGTTAAAAGGTCTGGATCAAGTTCAGACTGACATCTTCAAGACCCTTCAGACTGCTGGTCAGAGGTCAGAGGTCAGGAGGCCTCATTCTCAACACCCACTGGCAAGTGAACATGAATCTACGTCAACTGAACCACATTCATGGAGAATCAAGAGCGTCTGCTGATGTTTGAAGATCACATGGAAAGAACTTAAACATCACAATGGAGGCAAATCTCGCGTCTTTCTAAATCAAGGCTGTGATTTGTTGTTCAAAGTTCAAATCTCAATGTAAATCAGCAGCATCTTATCATACTGTGAACTGCAGCTCATTCCTTGGACAGTATTTTGCACATTCCTGCAGACTGTTCGGCTCCTCAACAGGTATTTTGTGCATATTATTTCTAATGATATTTTTGTCATTTTTGTTGTCTTTTTAAGATGTTATTCATGTTTCTTACTCTTTGTTTGGCTTTTATCTTTGACTTTCTCTTACTACGTGTCTTGTTATGCACCAAACACCAAGGCAAAGTCCTTGTTTGTGAAAACCTACATGTCAATTACGTCAATTCTGATTCTGTTGCAGCAGCAATGTCTACGTTTGTAAGTGTGGCTTTAGCAGGATTTATACTTGTGCGGCAAACCCTACGGAATAACCTATGCACATCGCCTACACCATTGTCAGCATTTATACTTGTGCTGTGGTGTCTGTGTCACTCTGCAGTTACAACTCCAAAACACTAGTTGGCAGCGGTGTTTCGGTGAAGTACTGTAAAATTTAGTTGATTCAAAACACACATTAAACACACATTAAACACACATTAAACATGGCTTAATAGAGACAATATCAAACACAAGAACACAAATCAGCTTCACTATAACTCGCAGCATTCACAGACAAACACTTGTCTTTATCTGGACACATTTTCCCCACAAATACAACATGCTAACGTTATTAGCACAAGCCTATTGCATTTTACATTGTATAAATTAGCCTAGCAGCTAGCAGAGATTTCCTCTTCTCATATGAAACCAGGGACAACAGCAACATTTAACAAAGGTTACGTTACAAAATTCGGCTCCATTACAGCTCACAAGGTTCACTGACAAAACAACTGTCTTATACTAAACAAGTTTTCAAAACAAATACAACATGCTAACGTTATTAGCACAAGCCTATGGCATTTTACGTGGTATAAATTAACCTAGTGGCCAGCAAACTTTTCCTCTGCTCATATGAAGCCAGGATAAATCACACGCAAGACTTTAAATGCTATTTTTGTGGAGGCTTTATTGTCTTCACAATTTATTGTTTCTTATCGGTGAAATTAAAGCAAATAAAAGTTTTGTTTCCACTGAGGGAAATGGTTTCATTTACAAAAACAGACAGGAGGTCTGCGTCGCCGGGACGTGTAGTTACATTTCTGGGGAGGTGCACGTCAGGTTAGCTATACCCGTTAAATTTTATTAAGGCCCAAAAGTACCCAAATTTAAGGGCAGGGTTGCTTGAGTGGCAGGCTGTCTGTGAGGTGTCGCTACAGTTTATGAGTCCGATCCACCCCTCGCTCCTCTACAGCTACGTCCAAATATGCAGTGTTGGGCAGCAGCATCACTACAAGTAGTGACGAGAGTAACTACATTTCTCAGTAGTGAAAAACAAACATCGACTTTCACTCGAGAGAGCTGTGTTCACGAGATTCTAAAGCCAAACCCTGTTCTTTTTTCTTGAACCTAACTATGTGTGTGAAAACGTCAATTCGCAGTGTTTTACTGAAGTAGTGCTTTTATTTTGAAAGAGACTGTATGCAAAGTGTACATTTCCTGTGAAAACAGAAGTGTATTTTGAAAGAAGACCCAGAACATCTACAACCAACGCACCCAGGGTACCCTGGACGTCCATGAGTCCACGACCAAACATTGATATGTGATGAGGTCGGAGTGATAGTGTTGTCACGTGAATAACTCCTGATTGGCTGACCAGCTCATCAGATTTAAATGAAGTAGGAATGATGGAAACCAAGCAGTGCTCGGCCTTTTCAGGACCACAGATGGACACCACTGCCACTGGAAAAGGCTCCAGTTAAACATAAAAAAGGAAACTACAATGAAACTGTGTGTGATGTTGTCTCAATCAGTGAAGGCTCCTTACGTGTGTTTAACTGATGAGCTGGTGAAATGAGATTTCAAAACAAAGAAACTTTATATGTCGTGTGGAGAAATGTGACAGGGAAAGAAACAGGCTGAGAGGTGATGGAGGGACTTACCCATTGTTTGTCAATCTGGGATTCAAACAATGACGTGCAGGACAGATGGACATGAGGAACAGGGGAGGACATGAGACAGGGAAAGAGGGCAAACACCGTCAGCCAATCAAATTTTAAAACACATTAAAAAACATTCCCTCATTCGTTTAAATTGAAATCTTCAAGAAAACTTTTTACGAGAGTTAAGGAAACACAAGTCAAGATTAAATGTATTCATGAAACATCTTCAATAATCTTTCCACTCATGTCTGTCTGTAGTTTTTACAATTTTTTTTCGTTTCATCACAGCTTTGACCTTGAATCAAACATTTTTTGTGACACTGCACAAGAAAGAGTAATTGTCAGAATTTGCAACACTTCTCTGAGTTATAAAATCAAACATTATCATTATATTTAGTCTCTGTGGGTCCAAATGTATCTGCTATTGTGAGCTGTAAATATTTAACATGTAAAAACGAGCAGAATGTTGTAAAAGCTTTTCTCCTTTTGAAAACTCCAAAGAAGCATTTGGAAAAAAGACGTCTTCAATCAAAGACTCTCTCTTTAATCATCAAGGTTACTCATACAGAGTTTTTGGGGCCGAGTCAAGTTCAGTCTGACAAACTGAATCAAACATTTCGTGCAACAATATTAAATGGAGGTTTGCTGTGTTTGGAAACCCAGAAGGACTTTGTGAAATTAATTTGTTCTAGGGATGGGCAGCACAAGCAAAAACACTATTCGAAAATCATGCAACTATTCGACAATTTTTTCGAATAATCGCCCCCCCGGAGCCACGCACACAGAGATCCATTCATCATTACGCCAGCGCCACACCACCCGCGGAAGTGCTGCGAAGCGCGGCGCACCGACATTCTTGCCCGAGCCGGAGCACATCCGTTCACATCGGGCATTTCTCCACGCCAGTCGACAAGCGGTTCTGCTCCCAGCTGTTTTCTCCATCACCCGACTTGACACATTCGCTCGCGGCTCGCCGCTCGTGCAGAAAACAGACCAGACACCAAAACGATCACTGCAGGGCGCGAGCCAGCCACGGAGCTGCGTGGCGCGGCGCCGCTGGTGTGGATGACACAATCGGTTAACATGGGCGCCGAAAAGAAACTGGCCTTGCTTCTCGGTGCTTTGAGGCTATTCGCAGTGCTTCCGTGGGCGGTGTGGCCCTGGCGTTACGGTCCCTCGCCGCCTCCTGTGTGCCTCGCTCTCAAATGACTGTGCATACTTGTTGTAGACTTGTGATACGCAAGCTTTGCCTCACAGAGTTTACACTGCACCTCATTTTCGTTTATTTTGTCGAAGTTGTTCCACACGGAACTTTTTTTGATGACTGTAGTAGTCTCTGCATGTTTCTCCTGTTTATAGAAGAGCATCAAACTAGCTGGTAGCCCATCTCACGCCGCTGTAGCAATCCTATACTGCCCTCGTGTGGTTAGGAGCTGAATTGCATGTCAAATAAAAGGGGGGAATAAGACAGCGAATAGTAATAGTCGCATTAAAAGATCGATTTTTCAAAAATAAAACGACTATTCGAAATTCGAAAATCGTGACCCATCCCTAGTTTGTTCCTCTTGAGTGGACGGACACAAAACACAATTTGCTGATGTCTCAATGCAAGATGTTGAATCTTTACTCGGGAAATTTGGCTCTATACAATCTTCATCTTCGTTGGGTCTGTAAATATCTGATCACTGAATGTTCTGGATGCTTTAATCTTTAAATCTCCTCGTGATGTCAGTGCACCTAAATGCAAACACTGTAAGTGCACCAAGATGTAATGGATTACATTAGCAACAGGAAAAGACCTCGGTGGAGATACTGTGAACAACAGAGATTGGGGCTTTATCATGCAGACCACATGAGCTTGTGAAGCCCTGATACAACCAACCATTCGCTAAACCCCTCCCCCAAAGAGCGACTGTCCAATCATAACTTAGCAATCCTAACTTAGGCACCAGTGTTGCCAACTTGGTGACTTTCTCTCTAGATTTAGCAACTTCTCACACTCTCTTAGCAACTTTCTGTCAACCAATTTAGCAATTTATTCATACCAACAGGGAAAATACTGAAATATATTAAAAAATATATTGTAATATATTCCCATACATGTTGGAGCAGGGTCTCTCCTTGACCTCTAGTGCCAGCAGTCAACTGACACAACTATAAAAGTGTCTGATGATGTCACGGATATGGGAAAGAGCACATGATGTCATCTGGCAACTTAAAGCATTCTTTGTAGCTGGTGCTAGCTACTGTTATTGGAAAATAGTTGGAGACACTGTTAGTCATGGGATATAGTGGGAGCTATATTCACCACCTGTGTGTTTTAGCCCAGTGGTGCTCAGATGGAGCAGCCACGGTGTCCAGATTTCTCCTTAGCCATTAGTTTAAGGTCCACACTGGTTAATATATTTGACGTCACCTAACTCATCATCAGTGAATCATTTCAGCACTGCACCAAAGAACTTATAAAAGTAATAATTTTTATAAGATGGCGGCACTTTATCTACTATTTGGAAAGTGCGTTCAAGATTTTTCCAATATCATTTTGAACTATGGATGCACCAATATGGATTTTTCACCAACCAGTTTCATAACCGATAATTTCACATTTTTGTATTTCATAAAGAAGTGTACAGCCTGTAGTTTATGACTCTTCATACCTGCCGACATCAGGTCTACCCTCAACGCCCCGCCCCCACATAACACCACCCTATAGATAAACATGATAAACACAAGGATGTGAAAGTAAAATGACTTTTAATCAGTATTAAATCCAGAGTTAACGATAAGACAGAGGGAGATGATGAAGCTCAGTGTAATTCTGTGGTGTATCAGTAAAGTGTATCAACTGCACTGCAGAGTGGAGTCTCTTCTAACAGAGACAAACACAGACCTGCTGATGAACATCAACATCAGCAGGTCTGTGTTACGTCTGCTGTATGAAACGTCTGTATCGTCACGCTGCATTTTTACATACACACCCAGGTGCCGTCTCACCGTCCCACGATAGACTAGACTACAGCTACCAAGTAGAAAAGTGATGTGCTGTTGATTCACCTCACACATTAACACTCAGCTCAGACAACAAGTTGCTGTGTCTCACACACACACGCAGCCAGAGAGGCAACGTACAAATAATCACTAGCTGCAGCATCACATAGCTGGTGGTTATTAATAAGTTTAACAACAGAGTCGAGTCTTTTAAAAGCTCGGTGTTGGATGTTAGCTGCTGCTGCTAATTAGCTCATGCTAACACTGTGGAGACGGTCCTTCAGTGCAGTGTCTAAACTGTGTCGGAGCGCCAGAGATCAGACCCCCGGCGCAGTCCTGTTGTCTTCCTCTGGAGCTGTGAAAGACGTCCACAGCATGACATGTGTTGCCCTCCTGACGGCGTGCTGCAGCTGTTGTTCTGCTCGCAAACCAAGTTTAAAGGTATGTGTACCGACACCGACTGTGTCAGGTGTGTAGACGCTGCCTTTGTTAAGTCAATGACAGCAGTCTGGCTTCGTATTATCGGCTATAATTTTGATGATTAGAATAATGCATAATGATAAAAATGTTCCATTATTGGCTGATAATTTACCTACCTATCATGCATGCCACTTGTTATCCACTGATTTTTGAAGAATCACCTTTCATTGCAGATAAGTATAAAGGTAAGCAGTAAATATGTGGTCCTGTGCAGAGCTAAGTTTTATTAGAGTGAGGTAGGTTAATCTATATTTTACCAACAGGTAAAATAACTTATTTTACCTTACTTATTTTTTCTTTTCTTGCTGTTTTAGCACTTTGAGATTTTTCGTTAAATATAAAGTGCGTTACAAATAAAATTTATTATTATTATTATTATTATTATTATGTACGAATATAAAGTAAAAAGACAGTACTGGCTTCAGTGGGAGGTTTAAAGATTTGTAACATCAGAAATATGAACTTTCACATGAAGAGCGTGATTCATTTTGACAAAAATAAATTAAGAGATGGATACACGAAATTAGATCAAATGTTTGTGGCAATGAAGACGTCACAATGAAGACCATTTAATGAAGTCATTTAAAGGACCAGCTGACACCCTTTGTGTGGAATACCCCACTTTCTTAATTTCCTCTTTGTATTTAATTTTCTTGCTTTTGTGTCTGAAACTGTCTTTGTGTTGCATCCTGAAAATGTTATAATATGTAAATACAACAGCAGAACCAGTGTGAATGTGGATGCTCTTTGTGTGTGTGAGGCTGGAATACAGAGTGTCCTTCTGCAGGCAGGTATGCAGTGTGTGTCAGCGGGAATAAATGGACAAATGGTGTTTTTGAACGGCGTGTTGGAAGCTGGAGAAGAGAGGAAGCTGAAGGTCAAGAGAGCAGCGAGCTTAGCTCTCTGTCAAGACTGTCTGTGGCCAAAGGGGCTCGCTCTCAGCGACGCCAAGGCCGCTGCCTCACACAGTCTTCACGGTCATCCATTTAACAGCTCATGTCGAGCGTTTGTCCGTTTCAAGTGAACACAAATACACCTGAACTGCCCGTCTGCTGGATGTTTGGAGGGAAACAGTCACGTTTTAGTGGCTGATCTGACAGTTTGACTCGACCCGCGCAGTGTGAGGCTGAAAATAAAAGACGACTGAGGGTTTTCAGAAGCTGACACACTTTGACTCAGAGTCTCTGATGGTGTGCTGTGCAAACTGAAAAATACAAACCATCTATCCGTCTTAAGTGATTTAGCTTGATAGTCAGCCAAGGCTCGACAAACACGAAATATTCTGCCAACGTGGAGATGATTTATGTTGCGTCAGTTTCTCCTCTTGTTTCAGATTTCTAGATCAGATAATGCATCAGTCACACCAGCATTTATGATTTCAGACCAAAATCCATGTCAGTTCTGCAATTAAAGGGATGCACTCATGAAGGTGAAGTAAATCCATGTGGAGCATTTCAGTTTTGGTGAACGTGGACACGAGACTTGGCTCCTGACCAACTGAACAATCCTCAGCACCACCCCTTTCCCTCACAGCACCGATCACAGATAAGTACAGACTCTGTTGACCAGGGGTGGAGAACAATCTATCCTTAAATGCATTGCAATTATCTTTTGAGAGATTATATGTCTCAATGCTGAAAAGTCAATAATTGGAAATTTAAAGGTCCAGTGTGGAGGATTGAGGGAGGATATACGGGCAGAGAGGGAATATAATATAATAAGCGTGTTTTCTTTAGTGTATAATCACCTGAAAATAAGAATTGTTGTGTTTTTGTTACCTTAGAATGAGATGTTAATATCTACATATGGAGCGGGTCCTTGTCTATGGAGCTTGCTATGTTTCTACAGTGGCCCAGAACGGACAAACCAAACACTGGCTCTAGATATGGTCAGTCGTATTTCATGTTAGGCACTGTAGCTAGCAGCCCCTCTGCGACAAACAGCACCAGAAAAATACTTATTTTATTAACGTGAAACTGCTTTATTCAATGTTTTTACCAGTTTATATCACCTTGTGTGTTTGTTTTGCAGAGACAGAGACCTCTGCGGATAATTCAGCCCTCGCTTAAAACCTACTGAACGTCTGGATCTTAAGTTATTGGAGAAAAAAAATTAGCAGATGCTGAGCTAGTGGCCCATCTTTGATGAGACAAACAGTGCAGGAGAAACCCTGATTTTACACGAGTGTGTTTACTGGTTTAAATGAGCTGGTCTGTTTGTTTTGGAGAGGAAGAGACCTCTGAATAATTTAGCTCCCACTAAAAACCTCTTGAACAATGAACAATGAAAGAATCCTAACTATGAGAAGTTTCATCTGGCTGTGGAATAGTTGAAAAGACCTGTTCGTTTTAACATCATAATTCGGCGTTGCAAAGACGCCCAGGAGTATACACAATGGGTTCAAACAGCATTGTCAGCTACAAGTAACTGAGTGCAAATAGCATCTGCCTTGATAAAATAATTCAAAATCTCTCCAACATTATTATGAATTAAGAAAGAAAAACAAGTAATTTTTGGTTGCTTGTTCAAAGGATTAAATTTGAGTTTAGATAAACGATTGGGATGGAGATTTTCAGCAGTGACAAATCATTCAGATCTGATGTTGAAATATCTGGCTGGAGACGTTTGTGAGTGACTACTGACAGTTGTGATCCATTTCCTCTTTGGGTTCAGATAAAGTTCCAACTGGAACATACAGGGATAAACTCCTGGGATCAGTCATGTGACCGTTTACCGCTTACCTCCTGACCGGTGTCCAACACACAGAGTTTGGAGCACTGCTTCTTGGCGTCCATCAGCACGTTGAACATGGTGCAGACAGACAGTGGCACCCGGAAGTCTGTTGACTTACTCGCTTTCTGCATTTTGGAATCAAATGCATATTTTGTTCTGTGGGTCGAAACACATGGAAAGGTTTTTATGATTGTTGTTGCCCAGAAATGGCTGAAATTCAGAGTCTTTTCTTTTAAACTGTGACAAATTTTCGGCATATTTTTGTCACATTACGACAAAGTCCAGAGAAACACAATTAAATGAAAATCAAGAATTATTCCAAGGACTTAAAGACCATCAAAACAGGTGCCAGAAAACCTGGTTAGTTTTCAGAGTTTGTTGATCTTTGACATTTTAAGGTTAGAAACAGTTAGCTCAGATTTGTACTCGAGCCTACAGAGCTCATTAACTCAGAAGCTAATTACTGCAGGAACAGTTGTGTGTATTTACTGGGTTGTACTCTATCGTCATAGTATTTAAAAATGTATTCAGGCAAAACAACAATAAAAACAGACATAGAGAGAAGGATGGAGACAGATGTGAACCCAGAGGTCCTGATCCAGCTGTGGTGACCTCTCAGTCTGACCTCTTGACACACGCCTCCATCATGTCACTGGCCATCAGTTTGAGCCTCTGCTCCAGATGTTTTGCGAACTCGGGCTCTGGCCAATGGAGGTCCAGCACGAACATCTGCAGAGCGTCCAGCTTCCAGAACAAATCCTCCGAGCTGGCTGAGCCGTTGCTGCGGGGAGGATGGAGACAGTTATTGACCGAATGTCACAAATACAACAAAAACACACAGGTTTACATGCACCTATTTGTTTTCCTGCACAGTCGAGGGATCTTCTATGATGCTCATTTGTTTCAGAAAACTCTCATTGGGGGAAAGTTTCCAGAACGTGCAGCAAGTGTGTATCTGAAGGTCAACACTTTGATGTTTTGCTGTATGTGTGAAGTTGCTGTAAACAACTTTTTGGTGAACATATTTGTATGTTTTTATGTTGTGAAGCTAAATTTTTATGGGTTTGTCATGTGAAGCAACACAATGTGATAGAGACTGTTTAAAAATCTCCATCCCATGACCCAGAGTGTGAGTTAAATCTCTGCAGGGGTCCCATAATTGTGAGCAAGTCCTTAAAGGGAGAGCTGTGTGATTAAACAGGGTGAAAGTAGTGAATGATATGACTGCCACAGCTTTTAATGCACCTGCCTATAATAACGCCTTCTTTCTGATCCCACTCTCTGTCCAAGTGCGTAAAAGGTGCACAAAGAGAGCAGCACCACAGAGTTACCAAAGGTGTGTTTGGCAGTGCACGCCTGTCTCTGATCTGGCCGCACCGCATAGTTCACGACAGTAGAGCCAGTTGGGCCACAGAAAGTGGGGGGACAAATGTCTCGTTGTATTCTGGTGCCAGTGGCTCCTATACAGGCAGCTCTTTCTTTCTATTATATCAATGTTTTGATGTCTAAAGCCCGGTATACACGGAGCGATTTTGGGCTGTGTCAGTATGGGAAGATATCGCATCGTATGTCGTAGCCTGTGATTCAGTAGGTGCTGTCATCACACAGTCTGCAGACATCAAACTTGATGTCGTACCCAAGTTTATTAGATACGCAAAGTGTAGCTGCACTAAACTTATAAGACAGCTGAAACCTCACAGTCTGTCAGAGGCTTGAATCATGGGTGTGTTTACAGGAGTGAGCAGGGACAATTATAAAAGTCTGCAGATGAAAGGAACCAATGGACTGTGATGGATTATCACTCTGCAGCAAAGAGATTTCCAGAGAAGAAAGGAAGGAAATAAATCTAAGACCTAAAATGAGAGGCAGAATATTTGTATTTAATGTGCACAGACATGTAGATTCACTGGTTTGATCCTCTCTTCACTGGTATTAGTGGTGCATGCTCAGTCACACAAGCGTATTCAGGTTCTGATGTGGTTCTTCAACAGGTTTTGTTCCAGAGCTGTGTGGCTGCAGTCAGTAAACACAGCACCAGGCTGAAACAGAGACAGATGGACGTCTCCCCGCCTTCTCCCCTGCGCACAGGTTACACAGCAACACATGGCAACGCTCGCCACCACCGACATCCAAGTGTACAGCGCCCGGCTAGAATGACAACCACGGGAGGATGGAGGACGGGGTAGGAGGGTGACGGGGGGAAGGGGGGAAGGGGGGTTAAAACAAGCGCCACTCACTCCCTCACTTTTCTCACTTCGCCTTTAAAAGACTGTTACCTTAACAAGTGGCGCACAGGAATAAACACTTTGGGCTGAGTCCGCGGTGCAATTAAACGCTCGGTGGCTATCCCCCTCATGTCTAATTAGTGGTGCTCTTCTCAGAGCGCGCTCCGCCCCGCTCCCCGGGGAACGGGACGATCCCACTCGCCCGTCTGTGCTCGCTAATGAAGTGCCAGCTTTTTTTCTTTTTTCTTCTCTCTTTTTTTTATTGGATCGAGGAGGGCCAAGTGAAGTGAGGTAGAGGAACAGTGTGGTCTGTGTTGTGGGAAAGGCTGGGGGAGTCGGAATGAGGAGCCTTTTTAAGAAACACGACCAGCCTCCTGGTCGAGCGTTGGTGGCCCCCAACATGGCCACCAACACTGCGAGCTCTGCTGAGGACTCGCTCACTCAAACACAGACTGATTTAAAACATATACAAATGTTTCGCAGGTGAATCCAGATTACACGTCTGATTTATTATTTTCCATACTGACTAATCTCTCAATCATTCCGGGTGTAAGCAACGGATGATTTGGCCTTTAAAATGTCAGAAAATAGTGTTGAACTTCCATCATGACTTCACAGAGTTCAAGGGGTCTTCAAATGTCTTGTTTCGTTCGATCTACAGTCCGTACCCAAACCTTCCAATGATACAAAACAGAGAGGAGCAGCAAATAACATGTCTGACTTAAACTGCATAACATGTCTTTTATTTGGTATTAACGGCTTGAATTTTATGGATTTCTTTCTATGCATGTTGCCCATCTTTAGGCCCATTCGCATCAAGTGCCGAAACTGTGCAAAAGAATCACTTTCTTTCAAAGAACTCGCTGTGATCAAGGGATTTGTATGTGGGTGAAATAAATCTGCTCAAAGATGTTTATGTTTTGTGGCACACGGCTTGTTGACCAACAACAACCCATCTGGATGGTACTGACTTTTGAGAGAACGGGAAGCCGGAGAGTCTAAAATCAAGAAGGCTATTGTCCTGTGTGTCATCATCCAGTTTCACTGAACCTCCTCTGTTTGAGTATAAACTGCTCCACAAAAACACAAAACAAAATTGGTTTCCCTTGCTTTTTGATTGTTATTTGTTACTTATTAATATTACTTTCAATATTACTATTAATTTTTGTCCTGATGAGCAGAGGAATGTGGGTACTGGAGTCTTGACAATGGGGTTGTGTGATTCAGGGAAAGCCAGGCATGACATAATCCTTGTGTGAGCTGCCATTTATAAAGATAAAGATCCCTCAAAGTAAAAGTTTAAGAACCCTTCCTTTCCTATAACCCAAAAATCCGATAAACACAAACATACGTGTTTAACAAAAGTGAAGGTTTTTTTTATTCCTTTGTTGACTTGTGGTCTCAAGAAAATCAATCTCTTCTCGATCATAGTGATCTTAGAAACTTTGTTTTATTGTGCTATTTAATCTCTTTTAGGAATATATATACCACACATTTGTAAAGTCATTGTAATTTTAAACTTTAAATCCTGCTTAAGTTACACTAAGAGCAGATCTTAAGCTGCTTCAGTGTAAAATTGAATTCATAAATTTGCAACCAACTGTTAATGAAACAAATAAGTGTCTCATAAAAAGGCTTCATGAACATTAAAGGAGTTACACGCGACATTCAGAGCATTTTTCTGCGCCTGTTTACAGCTGGTATTAACCATAGGCTGTGAACAATGACATAGCTACCATAATGTCACCCATTGTTTCATGGACTCCCATTTTAAAGCCTTGAGTTTGGTACTGTGGCCATCACCAGCTTGGTTTTGGAGCCGAGGACACTATCAGCAGACAGCCAGTCACTCAAAGTGGCCTGCTTTTAATTATTAGCAGTTGTCATGGATGTGTAAATTAGCTAAAGAGACTATGACTGTTTTTTGTACCAGGCTGTAAACAAGTTTATTTCTGCTGTAAAGCTGGACATTTTAACATGGGGGTCTTTGGGGAGTGACTCGCTTTTGGAGCCAGCGTCAAGTGGCCATTAGAAGAACTGCAGCTTTGGCACTTTCATGTTAGCTCACTATTTAGCCCCGGAGGTTGCCGTTTGGTATCAACCAGTGTCTTGGCTGATCTGGGGCCTGTATCACGAAGCAAGATCAACCTTTCCTGGGTTACCCAGACCTATCCTGGGTTGACTAACCCTAACAATGGCAATCAGGATAATCAGTATCACGACGCTGGATATCAACTCGGTAACTCAACCCAGGGTTGCTTTATCAAGAGCCGTGAACGCGCACGCAGCGGACCAATCACAATCATGAGAGAAGCGCAGCGTCACTGAGCGTCCTCACTGAGCGTCCTCACTGAGCGTCCTCACAGAGCGCTGTATGTGAGGAAAAAAAGTATTTCTCGTGAGGATCAGAGATTAACTCTACTAAAATATGAGGAGGAGGAAAGCAACATTAGAGAAAAGGCCAACACCGTGGCAGCTGCAGGAGGAGGAAACATGCGTGGCAACGCATAACGGGATGAATAATGTTTAGTTTTAGTTTAGATTAGTTTATTTGCACATAATGTTAAAAACAGACAGTATAAAATTTACAAGATTAAAAAAAGAAAAGTGCCGGAGAGGTTAGAAGCCACTAAAAGCTTATCAAAGAAATTCCCCTGTCAAAACATCAATGAAATCACATGATAGAGAAGAAAAAGAAACGGGTGAGGAAAGAAGAAATAGAGGAGGAGAGAGGGAAAAATCAAGACAAAACAAGGCAGCAAATAAAATGATGTGTAGGTTAAATGACTCATCACTGGTTCAAGTAGCTACAGTACCTGTACCTGTACATCTGACACTGATCACACCCTTGAATCCCATGAAATCAATGCTGCGCAGATGAATTGCGTGTATTACAATTATCGTCTAACATCATTGCGTCTGATAAATTGGTCTTCTTTGTCATAACGTTATATATGCTACAATAAAGCTTAAAGCTGACGCCACAATTAAATCATATCAACACCAAATTGATAGTCTGAATAAAATCATCCTGATATTGAGCTGTGTTAGAAATTAACAGCTGCACAAAAATATAGCTAGTGTCCCTCTTTAAAAAACAAAAAGGAAAATCCCTCAAACACCATGAAGTGTAGACATGATAGGCTACTTTCCACATTTCCAGCAGCAAAGCTGTCAATTAGGCCCATTATCTTTAACAGGGATCATTTCCTCCAACAAAACAAAATGTTGGCACTAATTAATGGTGCTATTAAGTGTCTGCAAATGATCAGTTTCTTTCTTATGAAGGGGTGGGATGAAAGTTCCACTTCTTTCCACTCCTTTTTGAACAATCTTTTCATTGTCTGTTGTTGTTGCTTTCTTTTCTTTTTTAATGTTCAAAATAAACTTTCAAATCAAAATCAATCAAATGAATTAAACTTCCCGTCATGACTGGGCTGCATTTCTGTCAGCCATCAACAGCTGATTGGCCAGTGGGTGGTGCTTTTTATAGGATCAGATTCAACCCTGAACTTACCCTGCTCCGGAGCAGGATAGCCGTTCAGAGTAAGTTACCATGGTGATCTACCCCGATAAGAACTGAACCGGCTTCGTGAGACCGAAAACCCAGAGTTAACCCTGAAGTTACCTCGCTACGACATTAATCCTGCTTCGTGATACAGGCCCCTGCTCACAAGTAAACAGCTCTAAACAATGTGTAAACAACCACCAAATTGCATTGGGTTCCAATCTCTCATACCACTTGACCACAAATCTATTGTAGTGTAAACGTAATGTGTGAAGTGCTGTAGAGTTGAGTTGAATCAAAACACACATTAAACACACATTAAACATAGATTAAACACACATTAAACACACAGTAAACACACATTAAACACACGTTGAACACACATTAAACACACATTAAACATGGCTTAATAGAGACAGTTTCAAACACAAATCAGCTTCACTATAACTCGCAGCATTCACAGACAAACACTTGTCTTTATCTGGACACATTTTCCCCACAAATACAACATGCTAACGTTATTAGCGCCAGCCTATGGCATTTTACATTGTATAAATTAGCTTAGCGGTTAGTGGACTTTTCCTCTAATCATATGAAGCCAGGGACAACAGCAACATGTAACAAAGGTAACGTTACATAATTCAGCTCCATTACAGCTCACAAGGTTCACTGACAAAACAACTGTCTTATACTAAACACGTTTTCCAAACAAATACAACATGCTAACATTATTATCGCCAGCCTATGGCATTTTACATTGTATAAATTAGCCTAGCAGCTAGCAGAGATTTCCTCTACTCATATTTCAGCCAAGATAATTCACACACAGTGTGTGGAGGCTTTAATGTCTTCACAATTTATTGTTTCTTATCTGTGAAATTAAAGTAAATAAAAGCTTTGTTTCCACTGAGGGAAATGGTTTCAGCTTACAGAAATAAAAATGGGGTCTGCGTCTCCACAACATGTAGTTACATTTCTGGGAAGGTGCATGTCAGGCTCGGGCGTGGGCTCTACCTCGACACAGAGCTTACATTGCAGGTGTGGCGTAGATTCAACACAGAAGGAAAAATTCTGCTTAAAAATAGCAACACTGCTGACAGAGCTAACGCAGTTAACATTGGGTGGGAATGAAGGGTGGAGATAATGCTTGAGTGACAGCGCCTTGGGTCGGTGTTATAAACAGTAACTGCTGAACGTGTGCAGAGCAGCAGCGACTGGCTATCCAGTGGGATACAAACATAAGCATGCACCACTGGACCACCTACCACCACAATGAACAGAGAAGCTCAGTGTTTTAAACACAGAGAGGCAGCGTGACTTCAGTTTCTGCTCAGGACGCCACTCGTCCTCTGTATCTTTACAGAGCAAGTTGTTTCCTGCTATATTAATGCTCTGAATGTCGTAAACAGAACCTTTAACATTCCTTTCGTCCTGCTGTGCACTGACAAACTCAAAATTGATACTAGCTTAAAACATGGAGGGTCAGAGAGTATAAAACGTTGTAAAACAGTAAAAAGTGAAGGACAGTCATGATGAGTTTCTTTTTGTTTCCTGTGTTTGGATGCAGAGGGACATGTTGGAGAAGAAATGGAGCAGGTGGGGTTTAATGAACAAAGCAAACCATTTTTCAACTTACAAGATGTCAGGTAGATTTATGCCTTGCAAGCTGCAATAGAAAATTGAGGTGTTGTGTTATTATTACAATGATATTCTTCACATTGTGACAAGAACACTGCACAGCACAAGGACTCGTGACACACTGCTCAGCACAAAATCTCTACCAACGAGTCTCTGAGGAACAATCGCATGCAGGCGGCACCCCGCTGACAAAAGAGCCACAGTGTCACAGAAACAAATTGAAACCACAAACCTCCCGCTCTAACGCTGAGCCTGGCTCATACAGACGAGAATAATGCTGCATGCTCTTCAGCTATCTCTCAGAAACCAGGGATGAATGGCATGGTAAAGTTTTGCTGGATTTCTATAAACTACTAAGTAAAGTAAAATGTTAAAAACTTCAGCAGCCTCATGTGGGGGAGTGAAAAAAGTTTCTTGATATAATAATTCATATTAGTGATGTGGACTCTTTGACAAACATGCAGGCGGATGAACAGAATCAGAGCGACGACGTGACTGCTGAGCATTCAGGACAGACGGAGGACAGTCCTGACTAGAGGGCTTCACCCAAACCTGACCTCCAGAAACCCAAAGACCTGACCTGACCTGATCCACGTCTCATCTTCACACTTTCTTGTCCACTTTAATTTTGATTCACATCTGTATACAAAGCTGACTGAACCCTGCAGGACTTGAAACATTAAATTCAAGCATTTTGCTAATATTAGGTAACTAAAGATATGTTACGCATCATGGTGCCAGCTGGTAAAAAAAAAAAAAGTAATGTTTTTACTCATAAACCAAGTTTACATTATTTGAAGAAATTTCAAAAATACATGTATCTTTTGAGTACGTTACCTTGAAGCAAAATCACACCATAATGATAAGAAATGAAAAAACAACAACAAAAAAAACACGATTATTGTTATAAATTTTAATAAAATTTTAGATAACACCCATACTTTTTTATGTTTTTAAACCTTTACGTTTTAACCTTTAATTCATGCCATGCCAGTCTGCTGGAGGCTGCCCTCTTGTGTCACCATATTTGAATACAGTAGCTGAAAGGGATATACGCACTTCGCCTTCCTCATTTACCTAGAACTTGCCGTCACTGGATGAAGATCAATTCCGGGCCGCTTCTGCGTGAACCTGATTTGTACTTTTATGATTCTGTCGCACTTTAAATGGAGGAGCACACACATGTTTTGCCACGTAAGAGGGAAACCACGCCACCAAATAAAAGAAAAAGATCAGATAAGCGAGGACGGGACAAAACGCGAGTGAATATCGGCGTTGCTTATTCCAGGTGGAAAAAACTCCTGTGGAAGAACACTCTGGAAGCGCATATATTATAATCGTACCAACCTATATTTGCCGCACTGTGCCATGACTATCACATAAAACGTGTTATTTTAGCATTACTGTGCTAATGTTTGCTCGTGTTACCAAAACAAATTAGAAATAAAACACTCCTAACATATATCTCACAGATAACCTATATCTCACTGGTAAGCTATAACATATCGTAACATGGTTTAGATTCCTAAATAAATATTCACCTCGTTGCTAGATACTCCTGAAAAACTCAAAAAATTCTGCTGTCTGCGTAAGGCTTTTTGTCCTACGAGGCCACCGTCACTTACCCGACGGGAGGGGTGAGCGAGTGAGCGCTGCAATCTAGAATTTGACCTCTGATGTCACTGTTACTCACCATTTTTACACACTGAGGCTTTAAAACAAGACAGTGAATTATATTTTAGTGTTTGATTATTTGTTTTACGTGTAAATGTCCTGCTGCTCGTCTTTCCTAACTATATGTCGCCACTATTTGTTGTTTGCAGCTTGTTGTCTTCCAAACTTCTAAATTCAGATTCATCCTCACTAACATAACCTTGGGGGCTAATTTGACCCTCTTCTTCTTTGAAGAATCATACAATCATAATGCATTCATTCTATAAATGGAAGAAATACCTACCGCATCCACTATAAGATTATACTTCTGAGCTATAAGGCCATCCACAACCTCGCCCCTCCGTACCTCTCTGACCTCCTACCTATCACCATACCTGCTCGCACCCTCACGTCCTCCTCTTCTATTCACTACCACACTTTAAATCCAGGCTGAAAACTCACCTGTTCAGGCTCTGCTTCTGTCTTTGAGTGGGTAGATGTTTTGTTTATGTTTGTTTTGTTTGTTGTTGAAACTGATATTTGTTTGTTTGTTGTAAAATGTTTAATTATCTTGTACTTTGTGTTTTACACTGTAAGGCGACCTTGAGTGTCATGAAAGGCGCCCAGAAATAAAATGTATTATTATCATTATTATTATTATTATTAAATATGTGTGTAAAATATTAGTATACAGTCTGCTCTGCAGACAGGACTCATAAAGTGCATTGTTAGGGGGCGATCACACAGAAATGAGACGCAGAAACACGGATGCTTCAAAGACGCTTGAAACACTGGAAGCGCTTATTCAATGCGTGCTAGACAAAAAAACGAGCAAGGAGCGCCTGTGGAGCGGGGGTATGTGCGCAACCGGGGTGCTACTGGCGTCTGATGCTCAAAAAGTTGAAAATATTTTAACTTTTCAGCGTCTATGCGTGTCTAAAAAGAAGTGTCTACAAAAACGTGCGTCTAAAAAGAAGTGTCTACAAAAACGTGCGTCTAAAAAGACGCTTGAACGCCGGTCAGATACACAGGTACACAATGCTATAAACTGTCATGGCAGGATTCCATGAATGTCAGATGATGCTTCAAGGCAACGTTGACATTTTAACTCTTATCTATTACTTAATAATCATATAAAGTTAATTAAACAATTAAAAATTAAACTTTGCTCATCTATTATTGTGAATCCATTGTTCCAGATTGTCAAATGACAGAAAAACATGTTTTCAGACCATTTTTTATGGAGAGAGTTGACAGAGCTGAACCACGTGAGGAAGGCCCCCAAAAGAGACTCAACATGGCCTCCAGAGAGTCATGTTAGAGTATACACTATGCTATCGTCTCTTTTTTAAAGTAATGCAACATAATTGAGGATGTACTGTGTGAGTGCAAACAGCCAAACATTAGTGTCTTACCTAGAGGCAACATGGCACCACAGAGGGTTTAAGTTTTCTCAGCAGGTTTAGAGCTGGAGAAGGAAACAGACCAGGAGCTCTACACTGGCTTCCATCTACATGACGGCAGAACGTCAGCAAACACAGGTCCTACTGTCTTTGGGTGAGTTTTAGATTGTCAGCTTGTGTGAAGGCCTCCAGTCCAGTCTACCCTCTCTCATACATACGTGTTCTCACACAGCGGTCCCATCCAGGCAGGCGCTGAGAAGGTGGGCATCTGTGGCAGTGTGAGAGGGAGGCTGGGGACTTTGGGAAGAGGAACGCTCGCTAGATTGTTAGTTAACGACCTGCCCAGTCGGAGTCAGCAGCGAGGTCGATGAAAGCCGGAAAAGGAAAATGTTAAAAGAATAAAAGAGAAGAAATGGAGACAGTAACAGGAGGCGTTCAGCACCACAGCAGCACACACACAGAAGAATAGCGACATATAATAGCAGCTATTTGTTCTGCCTGCAATAATTGATCAATAGCAAACACCATTAAAAGACAGAAAAGTCACTGCTCACTTCTATTCATTCTATTTTCTTTCAGTTCAGGTGTTTTTTGTTGACGAGAGCAGCTCTCAGTGCATTGTCGCTGACTGCAGTGTGTCCTTGCTGTCTCAGTTTTTGTACATTCAGCTCTGCCTCCTTTTGTTCCTAAGCTGTCCTATGCAGCGTTCGGTTTGTTGAGTCTTTTTATTCTTTCCGTTGCATTCATGCGGCAGCCAGTATCACACATCAACAAATCAACACTGCTGAGAGTAAACAGAAGGTAAAAGTGACAATAAGAGAAACTGACCGAGTTCACCGGGAGGGCAAGGAGAGCATTCTTATCAGATAAAGACCATGTCAGAAATATGGAACAGAAAAACACCTCTTTGTTCACGTGGATAGTTTTTAACAGAAGCAATTTGCCACTCTAACAAAAAGATCAAACCTGAAGACTTTCTCAGGTTCTCGTTGTTGATTGTTGCCTTTATAATGATGACTGATTTTTCTTCTGCTGTTTCATCACCTTCTATTTTATTGTACTCTGTTTAAATTGGTATTTGTAGATCGTTGTGTTGTTCCCTGCATCTTTTCCATCTCGTTGTAATGACTGTATGCCTCGTGTCACAGCTCTGCATCACCTTGTTGCTGAAAGGTGCTATAAACTTGCCTTATGTGCTGAAAAGAAACTGCAAGTCCATACACGTTTCATACATGTAACCATAACACTCACTTACGGAGTCTGAAATTGAATGAACACTTACGTGAGTGACTTAACATTTACACCGGAAGTTGCAAAGACTTCTAAGGTCGACACAAACCAGCAGTGCTTCTACTGTAAGCGGTGAGAGCTGCAGGCTCTGCAACACAGTCCATGTGTGTTTAAATTACTGTGACTGAATCTGACATGTGAATTTGACAGCAGACATGTCTGCACAGGCTGAGTTTATTCAACCCAAACAGTCCAAGTACAAACTGTGCAGATAGCCAACATGTAATCTCTATAAACAGATCATTTGTATGCAGTTATGTGCAGGTGACGGGACAAGATTTTGGTAGCGAAAGTGTTCTGGTTTCCGTTTTGTAGTCCGAGTTGCATCGATCAGTCAGAGCCAAACAGTCCATGTGTAGAGGCTCCCTCACAGCTGCTGACTCTGGTTTATTTTAAAAGCCAGCAAAAGACGCACCTGTTTAGACAGGTGTTTGGGTAACTCGTATGCACCAGAAGTCTGATTTATAAAACCGTACGTATGGACAAAACCAAAAATAGCCAACAATTTCTCCAATCAGACTTCCACCTCACCATCTGCATCACCAACTTCCTGTCTCCATATGTTCATAAGCATGGCCCAAAGTTTATCCTATCAAGTCTGTTTTTACAGATCACAACTTTTCGGTGTGAAGTGGCGTACGCGTCTTTCAGGTCTCCTTCTGTGCGTATGCAATGTTTATAAATAAGACCCCAGATCTGTATTACATTCATACTTCGTCTGTTCTTGTTGTGTATTGTGATTTAATTTTGCGCTTTTAACAACATGACTCAGGTTGTCACTTTGTATTCTTTGTTTTCGTCGGGTTGGCTGTTGTCGGTGAGATGTCACCCGCCCTGAAGCAGAGGGCCCAGCTTTTGGACCTACTCCAGAGAGCGTCCATCTCAGGCGCAGGTTGCTGTGGCATAGCGGGTCTAAACTAGTCTTGCCAACAGACAATCAGAGATCTAAGAGAAAACAGCCGGCAACAAAGCAACGCCTCTTGCATTTTTTGAAAGGACACGCCCTCTCGCTAATGTGTGCTCCCCCTTTTCTCGTCCGCAAGGAAACAAACACACAGAGAGCTTGAAAATGGATGCCGACGTGTGCTCACTCCACAAGATTGTGGAAATGAAGGACTTACAGTGACTTTGTTTAAAACTTTTAAGGCAGTCGGACTATGTTTACGAGCACAAGAGTTCAGTGAGCCACCGAAGGACCGCCCTGCAGATTTACTATTGGTTCTGCAACGTAGGGAGTTTTTTAAACTCTGAAATTGTATCCGCCCATCTAAACACAAAATCAGGGAGAAAGTCATCAGTCTTTAGTTAAGCAAAGTGTCTAAAGACTGACTTGTGAGTCTAGGTCTAAACTGACAATGGAAACACAAATCGGGGCGGCATGGCGTTACGAGGCCAAGAGTGACACTGAAAAAAGGTATTATTGTCGTTGGACTGATTGCCAGTGGGTCCTGAGATTGGCCAACATACACACCAACTGTTTGTTAAACGCTCAGCCTCTGACACGAACTCCAGTTATTTATGTAACTCTCCCTGTGTGTGTTTTGTTTTGTCTCCTTACGTTCATGCATTAAAGCCTTAAGGCCTCGGGATTAAAGCAAATATTTGCAAATTAAAACATTTTTACCTCAATTAGTCTGGAGTGAATTTCCTCACTTCTTTGCATTCACTTCATACGGCACTGCACTGCTTCTAAAATACACTTTGTGTTTACCTGCATTTTAACTGTAAATTTTGGGCTGAAAGTTCAAGATATAAATAAAATCATCCCCGATCATAATCAAAGTACAAAAGCAGCCTTTCGTTATCTTTACAGAACAAATTTAAGAACAGAGCAGCACGAAGCAGTTTTTTTTCTGGGCAGACTATTTATAAATTAAACATATGGAAACAATAACTTAAAATTTAAATGACCTCATGTCAGTGTGAAGGAGACCTTAATTACGTCTAAATATAATTGGTGAAATCCTATTGCAAAAACGGTTATATGAGAAACCTTTCAATTATGATTATTGAACTGTAATTTAAAATAATCCACGCTGAGTGGAAAGAGAAGAGAGAAACTCCTGAGCTGCACACAAATAAAAAGCTAAAAACATTAAGTTGTATCTGAACGCACCTCTGTAAATCTCCCAACAGTTGAGTCTGTGTTTCAGCGCTATTTTCACACTGCAGTGCACAGGAAGTGCTCCTCAGTAATGACGGTGGAGGAAACTTACTTGACAGACTGCCAGGTCTCCTGCTCGAAGCCGCGGTGGATGGACTGGGCGATGGACGACTCCATCAGGTCGATGTAGCGCACCACCAGGGGGACGAACAGGTCCTGCAGGTGTTTGTGGAATATCCCGTTGCACAGGTGAGCTGTGGTGGGGCGGGGCCAAAAGAGGACCAAGGTGAGCAAATGTTATACCTTTGAGACCATTTCTAGAGAAAGAGGGAGTAGGGGGAGGTAGAGTGTACAGCCCAGGCCGGCGGGGGAGAGTTCAGTTCGCACTGATTTCTCTCCTTAGCTCTACCTTCCCTATGCTCCGTCTTACTTTTCTATCTACCTTTGCTCTTTCCTACTTTTCTATCCATCCAACCCTGTGGCTCCCACTCAGACCCCCAGACAGCACTATTACTCCCATTCAGCGACTCAAGTATGTGCATCAGGGATTGTAACATCTAGTCCTGAACTGAACTGAACTGAACAAACAAACAAGACTACATTACACAAGACTGTCACCAGATAAAGTTTATATTCTACTAATCTGCAACAGCAAATACTGTCCGTCTGACTTTATTAACATTTACTGAAACTCTAATATTTTCCCAACCGATGCCAAAACTATAGTTTCCCTTTTGTTTCCAGTCTATATA